CTTTACCCTGCTCTGTACCCCCCCTGCCACGGAGTGAACAGCGACTCAAGACTCTACAAGCTCACAATCCTTGAATCTTTGACTGACACGCTGGGCATGTTAAGCCCCAACTGGATCCACACTCACGTGATTCACATTCACATTCTTCGAGTTGAGGCTGCTTGCTATGCACGGACCCTGCATGCATCACCGCTGCTGGTGTGGCGCCTCTGCGCGGCTGAGGAAGGCATGCAGCGAAAGCGCACCTGCAGACATGCTGTGTGGCAGCTACAAGACACGTAGTCAAGGATGGCCTGCGTAGCATTGCACACTCATCGCTCGTCACTCCACACTCTTCGTCAGTCTTGTCTCACGCTCACCAAGCCTTTGGTCTCTCCCCACACCCGCAGCGTTGTAATCACACCCAGCTCTCATGGTCAACGCAGCAGCTGAGCTGCCTGTCTAAAGTGCGGTGTAACGAGCTAGCCAAGGCTTAGGTATCACAAAGATGTTGTCACCAAACGCACTACGCCAGCCTACTCCTCTATCTCCCTCTCCTTCTCCCGAGCCACCTAGTGGAGCGGCTAATGGTACAGCAGCAGGCAATGGGCACTCATCAGGCCAAGCTTTATCCGCAGCGACTCATCCAGGTCAAGCTCAGAACGATGTCTCGAGCACAGTGTCATCCCCGCACGAGCAAGCAAGACAGACGCTGGAGAATTGCGCGAAAAACGCCATTGCAGAGCTCTATCAATTGGCCGTATGCACTGCTGATGTTCAGCCTGGACAGGAGCACGTGGTCGGTGCTAGAATGTGAGTGTCGAATGCTAGGTGAGAGTAGCTGTTTGTATTCGCTTTGCGGCGTGCCGTTATCGGTACCGAATGTCCGAAGTGGCTTGAGTGCCAAGCGAGCATGAGAGCTGGCCCCCATCCCTTTTTGCCGAACTCATTTCAAACTATCAACCCTGATATTGCTTTGCAATATCGATCTCGCTCATCCAGAAATCAAGTCATCGCTTCACTCTCGTCTCTCTCCGAAGCTGGCTCCAACCAAGATCTCTCCATGCTGATCGAGCCGGATGTGATGAACATGCTAGACAGGGGTCGCAATCCCGATCTGCACACGCGCACCTTCATGAGCGAGCTCATCATTCACAATCAAATCGTAGCTTCCACGACTATGGCTCTTGATGTGAGTCCCGGTGTTCTGCCTTGCCTTGCAGTCCAAGCCTACTCTTGGTCTGCCATTCTCGTGGCTGCCATTGCTGATGTCTCGGCCTTGCCTCACTTGACAGTCGTACTACGACCGGCTAGCCGATTCTGTGGCGAGAAGTTTTCCTGAGCTTGCGGAGGATGTCGAGGGCCTCAGACAGATCCCTGAACAATCACAAGTGTCCGTTGAAGGGCAAGACTTGGCGCACGATGGCGAAGGGAACCGGCCGGCATGAGGAAGGCATAGCTCCTACGCCAAGCTCCCTCAGCATGCTCTTCGTCTTGGTATAGCAATCTAGGCATGCTGAAGCGCCATTCTCAAGAGAGAGACGGAGAGGGAGCAGACAGATCTCATCCAGCGTAGCTGAAGCATGTTGCTGAGTGATCAGATGATCCAACCGCTTTGCCCGTCTCCACCATCACAAGCCTTTGGCTCTGGATTAGGCCTCGCTCGGAGAGTCCACGCATGCAGACCGCCGCTTGCGATCTGCAGCAGCCTCGCAAGTACCTGCTTACGCGGTCACAGTCACCTCTGTTGACGCTCAACAACAGGCAGCAGTCCCTATATCGATGCCGCCGAGCAGCTCATACTTCTCAGACATTCACTCTCCGCTTCAGTGGCAATCAGTGCAGCAGCAGCGAGGCAAAGCAACCAGCACGGCAGCGATTGCCATGATTGCGAATTGCATGTTGATGTAAAGTACAAGAGCCGCGAGATGGTGACATGTGAGTTCTCAATTGCGAGCACATCAGGGGCGATAGGCACTGCCAAAATGTGCACTATTTCGCAAGCAAGCAAGCAAATTCGAGCAAGATTGCCAATGCGCTGGCTAGCTCTTTCCCGAGAGACCTAGGCTCCAAAAGCCATTTTCTTTTCGCGCTTTAAGACTTCCATCAGCTGCTACCTGCGGCAGCAGATGCGTCATTATGATCGACGATGTCGCCCAGTCCTTTTCCGAGCACTTCTAGCCAGTCGCCTAAATCTTGCACGATACGGGAGAGCTCGATGCGCAAAGCGTCAGAGGTTGCATTCGCGCCAAGAGAAGGTGATGCACTTCCAGTGACCGCAGCCAGGTCTAGAGGTTTCAGGCTCGGAACACGGGGTGCCTGGCTTGTGGCCAAAACACGTCCACGATCAAGCAAATCGCTGCCGCCGTCTTGTGAATGACTGTGCAGTGAGTGCGAGTGTACATGTTGAGAGGCGAGGACTGGTTCAGCACTGCCGTCGGCTGCCTGTCGAAGAGCTTGGCCTCCCCACTGAGGCACTCTTCGCGGTCCAAAAGGACCAACGGGCGTACCTGCGCCTGACTGCCCATTCAGATGAGCGAAGAATGCGCTCGACGAAGGACTGGGAGAAGGTGGCAGACCTTCGGTGGAGAATTCGTGCCCAGCGCCCAACGCATCTCTAAAAGTTGCAGTTGCGGATGCAGCAGAAAAGCTCCGGCCGTAAGCGTGCGCTTGCCCAGTAAAGGATGCCGCTCCATCCTGGTTCAAGGCGAGTGGACGAGTCCGCGAACCGCTCCGACTGCGCGACCCGTAGTTGGGCGTCTGTGCTGCATATCGTTGGGCGGTAATCAAGGCGGCTGTGGCTGCTTGGGCTGGCGTCCGCTCTACATGACTGCCAGGCCCTGCACCCATCCCCACGCCGACCGGTGCGGAGGCTGGCACCTCTCGTCCAGCGCCCATGCCGACGGATCTGCTACCGATCATCACATCTTGCGCCGCGCCCGGCGTCTTGTGCCCACTTGCGATGTGCTCAGGCGCTTGCTGATCACTTTGCGAGCGTGCGAGGTGACGACTTTGGTATGACGAGTCTGACCCGGGACTTTCGTGCCCTTCCATCGGAGTGTAAAGGTCGATCTGGGCCGAGCCCGAGGGCAGCACGAATCCGTTGCGGTTCTTGGCAGGACTCATGCTGAGACCAGAGGTCGACGTGGCAGCTGTGTTGCTCTGAGAAACATCCTGCTCGACGGGTGTGGTTGTGGACTTCGCGGACATGCTCGAGAGGCTACTTTTCGCCCTGCGATGAATGATGCTAGCCAAGCTCGGTCGCTTCTCGTGCGCATTGGCAAAGCTCGGCAAGTTTTTGTGCTCTCCAGCCACGCTGCCACTGCTTCCTGGCTTCCGCGCGCCAGCTTTAGGGGCTCCAAACTTGGGCAATTCTGGAGCAACCTCCTCCATGGATGACGTGGACCGCTGTTGGTCGCGATTTCGACGTGTGTCCATCACGGCTGCCCGCGCATTCGCATTCGCGCTCATTGGTGCACCTCCACCCCCAAAGCGAAAAGGGGTCATACCCGTCCCTGCAAAGCTTGCTTTTTGCTCCACTGGCTCTGCTGTCGCAGCGATGGGCTGGGCCACGGTGCTAGCAGCATTGGGATTTGGCAATTCGTGCGCGCTGCTCCCCTTGGTTGTATTTGATGCTACCGGCTGAGGAGGCGGTGGTGCCGGTCGGTGATCCGCAGCGGCTGCTCGCAACGTCGATACTGAGGGTGCCGAGTCTCTACCTGACCGGGCACGACTTAATGACTCGAGCATGTTTGCTGGTACCATGGAGCTGTTGGCAGGTACGGTCTCCACTGCAGGCGTTCCATCCTCGCTGTCGAACAAGCGAAGGAGCGGGTGATCGCGAACAGGACCACGCACTGTTGCCGAAGCTTCTGAGCTGCCAAACATTGGAGAGGACGTTCCTCGAAAAGTACCAAACTCCCAACCATCTGCGCTGTCGTGCGCATCGAACGCAAACGAGTCACGATGCCTTTGTGACGATGGAGGCCAGAAGAGGTTAGCAAAGGAAGCCGCTAAGTTGTGAGCGTGGCTGACTCACCCGTGATCGCTCAAGTCCGCTGTCTCCGCGCCTAATAGACTCATGCGCATTCCACCAGTCTTGGTCCACGCGTTGTAGTTGGCAATCAAGTCCTTGAGCGTAGCAGTCGACGTCTTTGCGAAGCTCTTGATCCACTTGGCCTTGGCCAGCTCATCCGCACTGGGGCGCTCCTTGGGTTCCTCGTTCAGACAAGCAGCCAGGAAGTCCCGCATGGGTTCGGAAAATTGGCCATCGCTCGGGAATCGAGGAGGCTTGGACTTTGGTATGAGCATGATCGCTCGCATTTGCTCTTGGTCGGCATGGGGTGGGTTGCCACAAGCCATTTCGTAGAGCGTGATGCCCAAGCTCCAGATGTCAGCGCTCTGATCGTACGTCTTGCCCTCTGTGATGACCTCCGGTGCCATCCAATACGGCGTGCCCACAAAGGTGCTTCTCTTGCTGTGGACGCTGCTCGAGACAAGTGTGGCCGCCACACCAAAGTCACAAAGCATGACCCGGCCGGAGTTGGTGAGCAAGATGTTTGCAGCTTTGATGTCGCGGTGGATGATACCAGCTTTGTGCAGATAAGCAAGTGCGACCAGTGACTCGCGCAGAATCACTCCGCAATATTTCTCTGCCACATTGCCAGCTTTCATCTGTGTGCGGCGAACGCGAAGCGTCAGAAGCGGGCCCGACATGCGCGTTTGAGAAAGGGACACATACCACAGTGCGCACGGAGCCTCCTTCCGCAAGGTCCATGACAATCCAAAGCTCGGGACCCTTGAGCCAGCAGCCCCAATACTTGATGACATTCTTGCTATCGGTCTCCTTGAGCTGCGACAAGAGCGCAACTTCTCTTTGAATGTCACTGACGTCATCTTCCGGAGTGTCTAGGTTGACGACTTTCAAAGCAACAGCAGACCCCGTCGATAGATGGATGCCTCGATAGACAGCTCCATAGGCGCCTCTGCCTATCAGCTCTTGGCGTTTGAAGATGGCATGGACTGGTGGTGACTGCGATCGCGGCATCCCGTTTCCGCCGCCACCACCTGGTGGTGGTCGCCCGCTACCTCCACCCGCATTGTTGCCACTGCCTCCCGAACCACCGCTCGCAGTCCCAGCTCCAGTGTTGCCAGTGCCCGGCCGTCCTTGCTCGGTGTGTCTAGCCCCGTTATTGTGTGGCTGACCTACTCCTGCGTGCCCCGCACCTCCACCACCAGATCCCGCAGCACGACCTGGCGCAGCATGATTCCCGTTCGGTCTTGCAAAGCTAGCCTTCTGACGTTGCTCAATCGGAGCCAGACCTTTGTCGTGAGTCGCTGCTGTGGCTTCGCGCTGCACTCGTCGCCAAGCAGCTACTGCTGGGCCCAACGGGCCACCCTTTGCTCTCGCTGCCTGAGGCTCAGGGTGACTAGCTTGGCTGACGAAATCAGCTGTACCGTTACTGGCTGTATCAACATTCCTGGGGCCATTGAGACCTGGCGACAAATTCTGGCGCGCATTCGTCGGTGTCGTGCCTTCCCACTCCTCCTGGTGGGCAAAAGGCGGCAGAAGCTGCCTCTCAGCGCGAGGTGTGCGCGACTCCGCGCCATCTCTGTGACTCTGCCCTGCAGCCAGAGGCGTCGTCTCGCTCAGCGAGGCATCTGCGGCCCCGCCTTGCATCGTATTCATCGAGATGGTGCTGGGCTCCGCGTCTTTGCTCGGCGATATCAGCCCTCCAGCAGAGTTGAGGCTGGTCATGCTTGCCCGCCGCAATGCGCCGCCAGACAGGCTCTTGATGTTCCTAAGCGCTCTACTTGCTCGCCTGCCTGCACTGCCGAGCGGCCCAGGCGATGCCTGTGGATCTGGCGCGAACTCGAAGAGATGCTCCGCTGCATGAGAGCCGCCGTCTGGCTGGATATCGTACACTTCGCTTCTCGATAGTCGATGCCTGGAACTCGTCTTGGACATCGTTGCGCTGTCGCCCTCGTGTTCTAAAGTTGGCTGCAGTCGGGGAGAACTGATCTTTGCGGAGAGCACAGATATGCGTTTGCCAGACTGCGAATTGGAAGGACTAGGTGTCCGACTAGGACTCCACCAGCTCGGGTGAGGCTTCTCCAGTGCGCCTTCCCGCACCAGGCACGCATTTTCTCCACCATCGCCATTTCGAAGCCATGGCGGTACCCATGCATCCTGAGGTTGCCATCGAGCTGATGGAGCACCAAGATCGACGCTACCACTTTCACGCCGCGTGCTGGGTGTGGGAGGCCCATTTGAAACGGACGAACCGCTGGCCGGACTTACAATGCCAGCGAACTTCAGTTTGAAATCGGCCGAAGCGCGCCTCATGCTACTTCCCGTCTTTCGTACCAAGCTCCCAACATTGATGCCGTTCTCAGCTTGTGCTATCTCCGCATCTCTGCCTTGCTTGAGCGCCTGCAGCATCTCGCTCTCACCGCGGGTCACTTCCCTCCGATGAGATGCATTGTTCGATTGCCTTTGACCTTCAATGCTGGTCTGCCAGCCTGGCAATACCTCTTCGAGCGAAGTCGAGGGAGTGTCCCACGCTGCCTGTTTTGAGCCCCATGTACCGCCTCCGCTACTTCCACTGCTGCTGCTTGGCGGTTTGAGTGTCTTGACAGGCTGGGGCGGCAATGCCCCGGGCGCTGATGGTCTTCTAATGTCGCGCGGATAGGCACCGCCCAAAGAGTCTTCGACATCGCCGTGGGATATCGCGTTGCTGGTCTGAAACAGAGGCTGAGTCTCTGATCTTGTCAATGTGGCCGGCATGGCATGACCGGCAGTTGAGTAGGAAGGTCCAGCTAGCCTTGCAAATGTGTCCGCTCTACTGGGCTCGCGATGGCTATCCTCGCGATGTCGGAAGGCAGGACCGAGATGCCTGCGCGGCGTGTTGGCTTGTGAGCTCGGACCGGCTGACGTCCCGAAGTGGTCAACCCGGAAAGGTGCTGCATGACGGCTGCTGCTTGCGACATTCTGATCTGGATAGAAGTGTTGTGCGTCGAGTTCCTCCCTCCAGGGCTGCGTTGCATTGTGCTCGTCTGCTTCGGGACGTAGCCGAGGGCCATCAGTCCTGGGCACACGTCGAGCGCTAGAGGGTGAGAAGTATGATGTTGGACTGGAAGATAGAGCATCTATTTGCAGGTCCTGCGTGTGGATACCTGCCATTCTCTGCGGATCGATCACCCTGGCACCGATCGACATTGAGATCGCGTGTGAATGTGGCGGGCGTAATGCGAAGTCCAGAGAGCACCAAGGATGAGGATCTTGCGCAGAGCTACTCGGTACGGTGAGGTCGTCGGTCAAGACGCGACGGCGAGGTGTCAGCAGGTAGTGGACGACTCAAAGCGCCGTATCGTATCTCCGGCACGAAGGGCCGGTGCGACGCTCAGCAACCGCAGATGCCGGGGCTTTGCAGAGTGGTAGATGTCCAAGGAAGTTGGGTGTCGGATATGACAGTTGTTGCTTCGCGTACGAGGACGAAATGATCGATAAAGAATGATGAACAGGTGGTACGGCAGGGGCTCAGGCTCGCTGATCCTCCTCGTTCACAGCAGGCGTGGCAATCGATGGCTGTGCGTAAAACTCCAGGAGGAGGCGCTGCTTATTGCAGCAGATTCGATCGAAACGGTCGAGTTGTTGTCGAGACGGGTGCTGGTAGGCCCGCCGCAACGACCCTGTTGCATGCATGATGAGCAGCTTATTGTCCACGGCATCACGCAACGCAACCAAAAAAGAGACGCGGGCCCTGCTCATAAGCGGCGGCGGGCTGTTCGAATTGTGAATCAAATAACGATTTGGGACGAAAATATCCTCCTTTATAAAACTTCGAGCTCCCCTCAATTCGGGTCGAATTTAGGACAAAGACCTTTTAAGCCCAAGTAGGTTTGGTCTTGTAGTGCTCAGCCTGCGACCTCTTCTTCGGATTAAAATTCGACCAAGCGCATTTGATGCCATTTCACGTGACTCGTCGCACCTTTGATTTTGGAGTTTTGAGTTTCTCCGAGCAGCGTTGCGGTTTCGACCTCCTTGCGTGTCCGAAGAGAGTTTGCCAACTGCTCGAAGGCATTCATGCTCACCACCTCCCTCCGAAGCGATCACTCGGTGTTTGTCGTAACACGTCGGACCAGTGGAAAGCGAATCAGGGCGGCGCCTTTCCTGGTGCTCCCACAACGCGCTCTTCTCTTGCCTCAGTCAACTCAGCTTGAGATTGGCAATTGCGAGCTCCCTCCTCCATCGGACAAAGTGAAGGCCATCGAGCAGCCCCCTCCATCTCAACGCCTCTGAGGGAATGCCTATAGATCTTGGGCGCCTAGCATCGCATCTACTCCGGCGCTCGCCTGCTGTTGATCGCTTGCCTTCGATCACCAATCGTGTGACAGCGCGCCATTCATCGGCTTTCCAATCGATCATGGCACCTGTGGCAAACCTTTCGCCATCTCGCACGACCAGTGGTAGCGACCATCCTGCAAAGCGGCAAAAGCTAGGTCTTACCACTGGAAACGACGCGATCACAACCTCAAATAAGGGTGCAGTGACTGAAAAGGAGCTGGCAGCTCTTGATGACGACGAGCTTGCTAATGCTTCTTCTACGGATGGCAAGAAGAAGAAGGACGAAGAGAGGGCAGCAAGAAGCGCCGCTCTAGAGATTCCGGGTGTGGTGCCGGAGTCGGAATGGGCAGATCTGCCAAGCGTGCTGAATGCGCGACCCAAGCCGCCCAGAGTAGACTTCAGGACTGGTCTCTTTCTTGCGCCCATGGTAAGGTCTGGACACTTGCCCACGCGATTGCTATCCCTGCAGTACGGCGCTGATTTGGTTTGGGGACCAGAAATCGTCGATCGAGCCATCATGGGCTGTGAGAGGGTTGTCAATGGTAAGTAAGCCTGCAGCTACGGTAGTGGTGGTCAGGCGGCTCACACGCACTACATCGTGGACTGTATGCGAGCAGAAACGACTGGCATCGTAGCCTTCATCAAGGACGACAAGGAGGTCTTCACCACGCATCCAATCGAGAAATCACGCGTCATCTTTCAGCTTGGCAGTGCCAACCCGCAGTGGGCTTACGCAGCGATCAAACGTCTAACGGCGCATGATGACGTGGCAGGCGTGGACCTCAATTGCGGGTGTCCAAAGCCATTCTCTACGATTGGAGGCATGGGCGCACATCTCCTGTCCACACCCGATCTGCTCTGCGATGTGCTTCGAGCTATGCGCAGAGCCGCTCCGCCACACGTCACTGTGAGCTGCAAAATTAGGCTACTGCCAACCAAGGAGGCGACGCAAGCTCTGGTTAGGCAGATCATCAGGACAGGCTGCATCGAGAATCTGACCGTACATTGCCGCACCAAGGAGATGCGGCCCAGAGAAGCGGCTCTCCCGAACAGGTTGCAAGAGGTTGCTGAGGTTGTAGCTGAAGAGACGGGAGGTGCGCTGCCTCTTTGCTGTAATGGAGATGCTTGGGATGCCAAGGAGGCTCAAAGCTTGATGCAACTCACGGGAGTCAAGAGCATCATGATCGCTCGGGGAGCAGAAGCAAACCCTTCTTGCTTTCACCCTGACGGTGTACGAAGTATTACGGCCGAGGTCGCACCACAGATGGTTCGGTATGCTGCAGCGGTGGAGAACGCGTTCCCGAACACCAAATTCTGCCTGTCGCAATTGGCGTACAAGTCGACCTCTTCTTTCAATCCCAAAGCCAAGCCCCTCAAGAACAGTCCCAACAAACGAGAAATGATCAATTTTAGGGAGGCACTGGCCAAGTCCAAGAGCGATGAGGATTTGGCTCTGGTGTTTGGTGTGGATTTGGACCAAGTCAAGAATACATCTATGGCGGACATTCTCAGGCCTGTCAAAGAAGCGCTGGAGAAGAAGCAGATCGCAAGACCTGCAGAGGAGCCAGCAAGCACGACGAAGAGGGATGCGATCGACATAGCGCATGTCCAAGCGGCGAGCGCGAAAGAATCCATCAGGCACACGGAGAACGACACGGAACGCAGCGCCGAGGCTTTGGGTGCTGAAGGAAGTCATCGGACGCTTGAGCACTCCGCTGCTGCCCGATGGACGGAAGCCTTCTGGAGCTAAGACCGTCCACTTGAATGTTCAAGTTCTGATTTCGAGTTGCATCTTTGTAGCCATCCCGCCTCCACGCCAACTACATCATTGACAAGTCGAGCAGCAGCAGGCTCACAAATGTGAATGTCGAAACATGGTTTCCACTTGCAAATTGCGAGAATGAAGGCGCTCCTCTCGGCCAATTGACTTTGGCAAGAGCCAAGTGCACGAGGGAGGCAGCGGCCATCTCACATTCACGCACATCATTCTGGTCGAGATTTCAGGTTACGAATCATGTTGTTCACTGCATGGAGGTGCTGCTTGCCTGTGTGTTTGCATCAGCCCTGCTGCATTGTGATGCGCGATTCACATCAAGTAATGTGCGGTACGAATCACATTTATTCACGCGATTGCATGACGGACGAGATCCGTGGACACCGCGGAGAGCTGCTTATTGGCAGCAGAAAAAGTCTCTGCATGCGCCTTTGCCTTTTTGCGCGATTTCGCATGAATGTCGGCGCGTGGGCGTGGGCGTTGTGCATCGTTGTGTTCCGGACGGTCATGTCCACTGTTGTTCGTGACTCACGGCTGGCTAAATAACGAGTGACAACCGAACCGCATTGACGCCCCTAGACACACACCCCCAAGTGCAGTCGGTTCCCCACCGGCAGGATGGCCAGCAACACACAACACGAGCCTACCCCGGTGGAGCAGTCCTTCCTGAATTGGTTCGAGTCCACAGGCGGATATTTGTCTCCCGACGTTTCCTTGCACGACTTTACGCTGCAGGGCATGGGCAGGGGTATGAAGAGCAACAAGAGGTTGGAAAGGGATGCATTGCTGTTCAGTATTCCCAGGTACATGTTGCTGGGTACCCGAACCTCGACTCTTCCTTCACGAGCTATGGCAGCGGATCAAAAGGCGGCCAGTCTGGTGGGTGCGCAAGCAGAAGATGCAGTAGGAGCTTCATCAGCATCGAACGGGGTGGAAGAGGCTGCTCGCAAAGCGCAAGCTTGGAGATCCCTTCCTGGCAACGAGGCGAAGGACATTTTGCAGCTCTCCCAAGCTCTCTGCAAGGAAGCGCAGACCAATCCTCATCTGTTCACCTGGCAATCGCTTTCTGGCGGCTGGACACAACTGCTGCTCGTCATGCTATGGGAGCATTTCAGATCCACTGCAGAGGGAGGTGCAGCTTTGAATGACTCACTTGCGCCCAGAGGGAGTATGGACGATGAGCAGGATAATGCGGGCGGTAGCGTCGGGCCTTCTTGGGGACCTTACTTTGACATTTTGCCACGAAACTTTGATACGCCCATGTTCTGGGATCGCCAAGAGCTGCAAGACCTCGAGGGCACGACTGTTAGGGGTGAGTTTGGCCTTTACCCTGCGCATACACTCTCACGCTCGACACGGACGATCGCCGCGCTCTACTACACTTTGTGCTGCGTTGGGCTGGGCTGATCATTGTGATCCTACTTGGTTTCTTTCTCATCTCTAGAGAAGATCGGCTTGGCGGAAGCTCAGCTGGCGTACAGAACCCAACTTCTGCCCTACATCCACGCCCATCCCGATCTCTTTGTCGGATCTAAAGCAAGCGCAACCGCTGGACAAGTGGAGTCGCTGATTTCGACGTACTACAGTGAAGAGTTGTTCCATCGGATGGGCTCTGCGGTGCTATCGAGATCTTTCCACGTCAACTTGCCGGGTCAAGGTGGGCTCGAAGAGGTCGGCGAGGCAGAAGATGGGATGGAAGTGGAGGATGAGGATGATGAGGTGAGCACAACGAAGATGGAGGGAAAATGATCTCTGAGTTTGTCGATGCTTTTCGCCTATCAACGCTCAAGCCCGCTTCTCATCATTGCAGGACGAGGAAGATGGAGAAGGAGAAGGCGAAGAGAATATAGATGACGTATGCATGGTGCCCATGGCAGACATGCTCAATGCGTAAGTGGAAGCTTCGCGTTGATGACGAAACGGCTCGCACGACTGGCTGAATCTTTTCCTTGCTACGTTCCTCTCCTGGCCCCTTGACCCTGCGCCAGGCGCTTTGAATCAGACAATGTGAGAGCAACATCGACGGAATCAACTCTTGGTGTACTGCTCACACAATCCACTCTGCAGGCGCGGACGTTTTATCATCAAGATGTTCTTGAGATGAGAACCACTCAGGTGGTTGAAGCAGGAGAACAGCTGCTCAACACCTATGTGAGTCTCCGCCAGGGTGTCGAGCAAACGATTATTGCGCGTGACGACTGAGAAGACCTTTGCACTTGCTACCTCGGACAGGGCGATCCCCCTAACTGCGATCTGATCCGAAGGTACGGATATGTCGATGAACCCAATGGAGCGGACGTCGGTAAGTGGTGCTCAACCTGGTTGTTTTGGATGCTCACGGGAGTATCGCGCCCAAGACATGCTAACATCCCCAATGTCTCTCTGCGCATCGTGCTGTGCAGCTGAGCTACCTGCGACGACGTTGGTTGATGCCCTGCTGTCGCTTGAAGGACTCACCTCGACGACGGCCGTACACGAAACAAGACGTGCAGATTTGCTCTCGCGCCTGGGCTGGACCATCTCCATCGGTTTTGACGAGGTGCACGCGTTGGCGTATTTGTTCCCTCTTTCGCAAGAAGCTCCTTTTGAGCCTACTCCCCTCTCGCCTACCGAGAGGGAGCTGCGATCAGCAGCAGCTTCCATCTCTGACGAGCTCTTGGCTCAGGCTAGAGTGTTGATCATGTCACAAGAGACGCTAGAGAAGCTCAAGAAGAAGGATAAGCTACCTAGCTCGAGGATCGAAGCTAGAGAGATTGTCGATGGGCAGAGCAGAGGTGTCGCAGAGGTTATCGCGAGGGCGATCGAGCTGCGCCTCGAGGTGTACCCTACTACGCTGCAAGATAATCGCGCGATGCTCTATGCTTCGCTTTCGACTCACAAGAGACATAGCACCGATGCAGATATGGCCATAGATCACGATCAGGTTCAAGCTCGACATCAGGTGGAAATGCGAGCGCCCCTCTCTGCTAGGAGGAGGAATGCAATGGTGGTCAGATCCGGAGAGCAGAGCGTATTGATGGATAATCTGAGAGTGTTGAAAGCTGCTGATGAAGCTTCTCGCAAGTTGGAAAAGGGACAAGGCGTGACTTCGGAGAAGAGAAAAGATGCGTCGCAAAGCGCAGGGCACAAGAAGAGCAAGCGGTAGAAGCGCTCTGCTGGAATGGATTGTTCAAATACCTTTGAGGCTTTGAAGCAGCGCATTGTCTGTGTCTGTCCTGTGTGAAATCCTCACTTGGCTTGCTGCTGTCCAACGGCTGCGCGTGCGCACACACGATCGCCATCACACTCAGCCCAGTGGTGGAGCGTCCAGACTGCAGCATTCATTCGAAAGGATTTTCCCGCTCAATGCAAAGCTTGCCACTTTCTGCCCGTTATCCTCTCGTACGCCTCCTGGTATTTATCCCTGGTATCCAAAGCTACCCTATCAGGCAATCTTACACTCTGTCCATCCTTTCCCTTTTCTTTGCCATCCAATCCCTCTTCGATCAACCAATCCCTGACAAATTGTTTATCAAAGCTCTGCTGAGGTTTGCCCACTTGATATTCCGTCGCCGACCAGAACCGCGAAGAGTCTGGAGTCAAGACTTCATCCACCAAGATCAGCTGTTGGCTCGCCTGACCAGTCGAAGAAGATGTGCTAGAGATCAGACCGAATTCAAACTTTGTGTCGGCCAGAATGATGCCGCGTGATTTGGCGTGTGCTGAGGCTTGTTTGAAAAGCGACAACGCTGCGCTTTCGACCTCCTTGGCTAGGTGTGCACCTATCAGATCCGCGACTGATGCGCGGGCAAGAGACAAAATCGCGAGCGAATGTTAGAAGAATGCACGTGTGACCCGCAAAGAGCGAGCCTGGAACCCGTCAGGAAGATTGGCAACCCCCCATCACGACCGATACTCACCTTTGTCGGGATGAATATTTTCATCGTGCGATCCCTGCTCAGCTTTGGTGCTGGGTGTGAAGATGGCTTGAGGAAACTCCTGACTCTCCACCAGTCCTTCCTGAACTTTGATCCCGTGCACCGTCCCGCTCTTCTTGTACTCCTTCCACGCACTGCCCGTAATGTATCCCCTCACAATCGCCTCGATGGGCAACACTCTGGCTCGTCTGGCCAGCATGCTGCGATTTGCTACTTGAGAGGATACAGAGGAGAGTGCGGATCGGAGTGCTGCGGGAAAGGAATCAAAGGAATTCGATAGAACGTGAGATGGAAGGATGGAAGGTGTGAGCAGGTCGAACCAGAAAGTGGAGAGGGCGTGCAGTAGCGGGCCTTTGGATGGGATGCCCTGTCGGCCGGTGTTGCAATTGCGCAGGTTTGGGCCAAGCAGAATGGTCAGCACACCTCGCTGCTTTTCGCTCTCATCCAACACTCACATTTTCCAGGATCACATCGAATGCGCTGATGCGATCCGTCGCTACGAAGAGTATGGCATCTCTGTACTCTTCGCCCAACCTTCCAGCATCGACTTCGGAAGACAGGACGGGTCCAGCATCGTACAAATCTCGCACTTTGCCTTTTGCGAGCAGGGGCAAAGGTAAAGAGGTGCTGATGAGACTTGCGGGAGCGCCTGATGACATCTTGTGCAGCGTGTGGTGGAGAAAGAGGATGGAGTGTGAGAAGAAAGCAGCGCTCATGTGGTACAACGCAGGCGCATGCCAGTCCTGTGCAGCTAGGAATCACAATTTGAATCAATTTGGTGACTCGCAATCAAAAATTAAACAGCTTCGAAGTGTGCAGATTCAAAACACGTGATTTTGAATTCAAGTGGCTGTCATTTCAATTGACGATATTCATGTGATTCTTGATTTGGTGTATTTGGATGCAGCTATCCGCGTAGCAGAATGGACCTCCACCCGCAGACAACCACATCAGCAGCACAAGCCCACTCCCCTTTACTGGACACTCACGACGACGTTCACACGACATTCGCCATTCTCTTCGATCTTGCGTTGTCATTTCATCTCGGCTGACCTCTGGGCAGCATAAGCGCCAATCATTTGATCTAAGCCGCGTCTATCCCCTCTCTTCCGTCAAAGTGAAGCTGCCAGCACTGTTGGCGCGCATCATGTCCCGCAACGGCTCGAGCGATCAGTCGAAGCTGGGGCCCTTCTCACACCTGGTCGCGCAAGGTGCATTGCCCACTTTCGACACGTTTTTAGACCTCTTCAGCAGCAGCAGCAGCAGCGCATCTCCTCAAACATCCCACGCATCTGCTTCCTCATCTCAGAGCTCCAAAACGACTCCAAGCGCGGGTCAAACGTGGCCTACGAGCAAACCTCCATTCAAAAACATCCTCATCCTCTCCGGAGCTGGCACCTCCACTTCTGCTGGCATACCAGATTTTAGATCGCCAGGAACGGGATTGTATGACAATTTGAAAAGGTACGATTTGGCTTACCCCGAAGAGATTTTTGGGCTCGATCTGCTCAGAAGCAGACCGGAAGGTGAGGGTGTGCTGGGTTCTGCTGCGGTTGAAGGGGTCTCGCTGGAGAGGCTCGATTCTTGAGTTTACGCGCACGAACAAGCGCTCACTGGCTACATCCCACCATCCCTCTTGTTCCAATTGCAGCCTTTTTCACCCTCTCGCGAGAACTGTACCCTGGCAAATACGCACCAACCTTGTCTCACACTTTTTACAAGCTGCTGGACGACGCAAACGTGCTCCTCCGCATCTTCACCCAGAACATCGACACGCTGGAAAGGTTGGCAGGTCTGGATGACGACAAGATCGTGGAGGCTCATGGCAGCTTTGCTAGCGCCAAGTGTATCGAGTGCGAAGAGAGCGTGGAGGAGGAGTGGATGAGGCAGCATTGCTTGGATGGAAAGGTGGCGAGGTGCGAGGCTTGCGGAGGCGTTTGCAAGCCAGACATTGTCTGTAAGTAGAGAAAGAGGCAACGCGAGCTTTGCAAGGCGAGGGAGTGAGCGCTGACATTGTATTTGCATCATCCGCTGCCGCTCCACCAAGTCTTCGGTGAAGCTTTACCTGAGCGCTTCATCGATCGGCTCCAGGACTTGCAGAAAGCCGATTGTCTTTTGATTCTCGGTACCTCACTCAGAGTGAGGGGAGGGGTGGCCTAGTCACGTTCGACTGTGTATTTCTACGAGCTCACACTGAGCCTTTGCGCTCCTGCTCGCATCTCACAGGTGCATCCGTTCGCCTCGCTCATCACCCGCGTGCCGCGACACATTCCAAGAATTCTCATCAACCTCGAAAAGGTGGGCGATGATCAGTGGGGCGGGTTGGACTTTGACGGCGATTACGTTGAAGAGCCGGAAGGGGTCAGGGATGTTTGGAGCGGGGAGAAGCAGATCGACGAGGTCGTGAGGCAAATTTGCAAGAGGCTTGGATGGGAGGTGAGTGGAGACGGAGAAGCATCCAAAAGGATGCTTGCGTCGAATGTCAGTGGTTTATGCGGACGACCAACTCGTCTCGAGCAGGATGAGCTCCTACGACGGAACGCGGAGACGCGGCGAAAGGTCCTGGGTAGTGATGAAGTATCTGCCAAGGGTGGAAAGGCCGCATCGACGGACAAAGCCGCCGAGACAAAAAGCGAAGCGACCACTGATCTCTCTGCAGCAAAGGAGAGCGCGCAGCACA